GGGGGGGGGGGGGGGGGGGGGGGGGGGGGGGGGGGGGGGGGGGGGGGGGGGATATTTTCGCGGCGGCCCCCGCGCCCCCGCGCCGCCGCGGGCTGCGCTATAGATACCCACTAGCCACTGCTGCTGTACTGGTGTTTTGTGTTGTTTGCTTCGCCAGAAATAAGAAAATAAGGGGAAAAGAGATGAGCAGGATGATGCAACGGCCCAAAGGAATACGAAAACCGTTTCAAGAAATTGGGCCGACTTCGGCTGGTCCTTCTGCCCAAAATAAGACATAATTGAGGCTCGACCCGATTTTGACGTTTATTATCTCTGGTCCCGTTCTGTATGCCGGCACAATTTGTCCCATCAACACCAACCTACATAGCACCACTGCCGGCCGCCATACCCGACAGAACACGACTATTCCAAGGATAGTCAACAAGGTAACAGGAGAGAAGCGAGGACTCACGCAGAAACAAGACACGGCCTTCCAACAGATGATTATTACCCATTTTGTTTGCAACCCGCACACGCCGTCGCTCACTTTGTGCGTGCAAAAACCTGTTTCAAAGATTACGTATCTCTGCAATCTTCTTGCGTTCAATGAGAGCTCCAGAATCCTGGATTTGCCGCACTGTGAGTCTACAGTACCTCGAGTCTACGTCAAGAAATTTCTGATCATAAGACTAGACTAACTCGATTGAGACAATCCTTCGTAATTTGGTTCCTATATTCCTCCGAGGCTGTCTCTCCCGCGCGCGCGCTCGCTCCTCTCTCTGTCTCATCACCCACTCACGCTGTGTCTTCCGCAGTCTTATGTGTTGAAATACAGCGCAGTAATGTTGCAGGATGTGTTCAGTAAGCTTTGATGCGGCTGCATGATTCCGTAGCAAAGATGTACGTATTCGTAAGTGTGTATGTCCTTTACTTGGAAGGGGGAGATTTGTTTAATTTTTTTTTTTTTGTATTGAGCACGCGAAAGGGGAGCGGAGGAAGAGCGAGGTCCCGATAAGCTTGAGAGAGCTCGAGAGGTCCCACCGCATAAATACGTTCCACCGCATAGTAACCGTCATGGTATACCTATGCCCCTATCTGCGTGTTCCCGTTGTTGTCGGCAGATCTACCAGTCCGTATCCAAACACACGAACACCCTCCCTGAATCGTCACGCAAGTGGCGAATCATCAGTGGGGCATGGATACCCCAGATCTACCTGAAAGACTCAAATCAACAACGGTGCGGGGGGAAATCCGGCCATCCGGATCAAAAACCCTCGCGTACCCAAACATAGAAACCGTTGCTTTNTGTCGGCAGATCTACCAGTCCGTATCCAAACACACGAACACCCTCCCTGAATCGTCACGCAAGTGGCGAATCATCAGTGGGGCATGGATACCCCAGATCTACCTGAAAGACTCAAATCAACAACGGTGCGGGGGGAAATCCGGCCATCCGGATCAAAAACCCTCGCGTACCCAAACATAGAAACCGTTGCTTTCACGGAGGATTCCAACGGCCGCACTTCCAAGACAAAGACCAAATGGCAGGACAAATTGGACCGGTCATGTGACGCGCCGACCAATGCTTCCTGCATTACAAACCATGGCCATAGATGCCCAGTGCTAAATGCAACACACATATTAGAACATTCGAGATGCTCAGTGCTAAAACACAGTAACACAGAAGCCAGGACTACTCCGGGAGGTTCATCAGGGCCTTCCGGTGGTACTCCAGTTTGGTCTTACCAAGGACCTTGGTCAGCATGCCGACGTGCTGCTCTTCCTTTGGGACATACTCTGCGGTGATCTTCCCCGACTTGAAGAGCTCGCGGAAAAAGTGGTACCGCACGTCGGTGTGCTTGCTCCTCGCCGAGCTGAAGGGGTTCTGCACCAGGGCAAGAGCTCCCTTGTTGTCTTCAAGGACCTTGATCTTCGCGCCACTCGTCTCAGGCGCTACGAAAGACAGAACCGCACGCGCATGCAACGCCTCCTTCACTCCCTCCCCGGCTGCTAGATGCTCTGCCTCCGAGGATGACTGCGCCGGCACACGCTGCGTCTTTGTGGTTCCGTTCACCGTGTTACCACCTACGGTTACGGCTAGTCCCGTCGTCAAACGCTCGTCAACAACGTCGTCGGCGTAGCTGGCATCGATCCACACTCGTAGATCTGGCCTTGACCCCGCACAAAGGTGAGGCTCAGGTCCTTCGTGGCGTTGAGGTAAGACATAACCCTCAGAAGCGCCTGCCATATCCTGTCGGTGGGAGAGTGAGCCACCTTCTGGATCTTATTCAACGGCAGATCGATGTCCGGCCTCGTATGCACCATCCACATCAGGCACCCGAGTGCCTCCCTCACTGACTCATCCACCGTGGGCTCGTCATCTCGTTTCGGCCCTAGGTCAGCGCCGGTGACAGCAGGCGTGGGGGCGGTAGTAGTCACGTTAAACCGCTTGATGATGCTCTCGATGTATGCCGCCTGGGACAACTTGGTGATGCCGTTCTCTAGGTCCATCCCAATGCCAATCCCATCATACCACGTGCATTCTCCCAAATCCTTGCCCGGAAACTTCTTCTGGGGGTTCCTTCACCATCGTTCTCACCGGGGTCGCTTGTCTCGCCGCCGCCATCGTCATCGCTGCCGGGGTCGACGGCCTCGCTGCCGTCACCGTCATCGTTGCTGCCGTCGTGGCTAGATGTGTCCCGCCGCTGCTCTCATCACCAGAGTCGCCGCTGAGTGGCTCGCTGCCGCCTCCGTCGTGGTTGTTGGAGACGTCGCTGGGGCCACTACTGTCGTTGCTGTTGCTGCTGTTGTCGGCGGGGTCATCGCCACCGCCGAAGTCACCCCCTCCCGAAGAGGGCGACGGGGGACCTCCGCCTTCGTCCCCCTGCATCCCATTTCTGGGTGCCGCAGGCGTCCCCATGCGCACGAGCGGAGTCGCTTGCCCCAGCCCACGAGCGTCGTCCACGTCGAGGTCGGACTCACTCCTCGAGTCTTCTTCCCCCTCCACCTTGACGTGACGCGCCCTCATTGCTCCCGCCCTCCCCGCCCTTCTCATCATCTGCAAGAGGAACTGGCTGCAGGGGGCCGGGCGAAGCAGCGGGCACTTGGCGCCAGGTGAAATTTCGGGTGACGATTACTGTTCCAGCTTCGGTTAGCATGCGAACGCAGTCACTGGAGTGGTTGTGGGCTGGTCCAAGGTACCATCCTTTCTGCCCCTTGGGTTGCGACTTTGCCTCCCTTCTTGATTTGAATACGGCTGGTTTGAGGAACGAGTGCGTTGACCCGACCGGCGGCGGTGTGCCATGAAACATCTTGTAGGTGGCTTTGTGGCCAGGGTTGCCCATGGTGGCGTTGCAGTGTCTTTGGTGGCACGCGCAAGAGATGGCTCAAGCCCATAACTTGGGGGTATTGGGCGCATCGGGGAAGAGTGCCGTAGCTTGGATACGCGCGGCGAGCGCGGCATCAGTGATC